TGGCCATTGACAACAGAATGGGGGGGAAACATGCATATGGGAAAGAGACACAGGTCCTTGTGGTTCGTCAAAGGTGACGTCCCACGTTGTTATAGATATTTGGGCGGGCGTGCCACGTTGTCAAAGGTGACGTCCCACGTTATAACCCATGCCATCGTAGAAATTTAGATTGCCAAGTCAACATGTCAAGCATACTTGACTACCGTTGATCCCCTGCTTCGGCAGGGAGGACCCGATAAAAGCATAATGATTGCCCCTTGTCCCCAACAGCTTTACATCGCAGGGAGCCATCCGAGCATGTGCCATAACCAGCCAGAACCCCCCCCCCCAACTGCTCCTTTCCATGTTGTTGCCCCGTCAAACGGGCACGGTTCAGGCATCTGACTCAGCCCACAACTGACCCGGTCCGGGATGGGAAATGCCATCCGGTTGCCATCGTTGGGGCCCAAGCCGTGACTCGCACCTGGCGCACTGGCGAGCTTGCGTGCTTGTGCTTGTCTGTGCTTATGTGCTTCTGTGCTTGATCTCAGTCCGTCCCTGCCTGGCTCCCTGCCTCTCTGTGTCTGTCTCTGCCGTCTCTGCCTGTTCCGTCCGTCTGTCTGTGCGCCTGCCTGAGTGTCTGTCTCTGCCTGAGTCTCGTCATCTCTTTAGTCATCCTCTCTAAAGCTCCCAACAGCCCAACTCAGCGTTGATCTGTGGAGGGTGCGGGCTTGTTGAAATGGCTTCAAATGGTCGAAAGCGCCACTTCCAACACAAACATCTGTGTGGGTGACTCCCGCGAATTCCACCAACACTTTCTCCAACTGCGACCTTGAGCTGTTTGGGAACGTACAAGCCACAATTAGTCATGATGATAGGCATAAACTAATATTTGTTTGCCCCTGGTACCTTCCCACGTGACACGGGAGCCACAAGGTCCTCTTGAGTTGCATGGGAAGGGTACCTCTGCCACAGAGCTGCCGGGCTTGCATGACACCCTCACGCTCCAAGATGCTTACATGACAATCCCAACCCCAAAAAAGTTTTTTGAGAACCACCCAAAACGCTCACGCCATTCCCTTGTGATGCCCTCGGACCTGGGTGGGTCTCCCCGGAGGACTTCTCAGCCGTCTCCAGGACCCGCTGGGCCTAGCAGTTGGAGAGGCAAGAAATATCAGAGACCGGCTGGGGTGCCGGGGCCGGAAGCGGCTTCCCTCGACGTTTTTTGATTTTAGCCACTTTCAGTCAGTTGTTCTGTCAGTTTAAGGGCGGTTCCGTTGGTCGAAAACACTGGGCCATACAAACTCGCAGTTTGGGACACCAATTCAGAGCCCGCTGAAAAGCGGGGTATCCCTTCCCCGGGCACACTGGTTCGAGAGGACTACACCCGTTCGTGGCAATGATGTGATTGATTTTTCCTTGCCTGGCCGAGGGAGGGGAATCCTCTTTGGGTTCTCCTGGCCTTGCAAGGGCCATTACCATCCCCGTGCTCGACGAGCTATAGAAGTGGCTCAGAAAGTTGTCTGCACCATTGACGAACCAACAAACTCCTTTCAGAAAGCGGTATGTTTTCCACCAAACGGGGACCTGCGCTTGAAGCTTGCATGCTCAAACACAAACATGTGTTTGAAGTCTTCTTGGAGATGCGCATGGCACCGAGCGGCCACGTCGGGCTGCGAGAGGGGGGTTCTCACAGGATTCGGTCCCCAGTTAGTTTCCTTTTGTGTCCCAAATACCAACCAGAAGGGCCCACCATTTCGAGCAATCCAAATGGGTTGTCAACATAAGGGGGACCCCAAAAATGGAATCCGGTTGTCTCTTGGGTTTCCCTTCAAACCGACCTAAAAAGGCCACCTTCGATTTCGAGAAGCTCCGATTTGGTGGTCCGAGAAGGTCGAATCAAACGCCGCGCGGGCTGCCTCAGCGTCATCGCCACCCAGCTGATTCGCCTGGTCGAGAGGTAAGCAATGACACTGCAAAGTTCGGAACACACCTCCCAGGAAGCTAGGCATGACATTTGGGTGTTTGCAGGCTTCTTTCGAGTCTGAGAATCCGTGACGAAAACAAGAACACTCTTGCACATCCAGTCTGAGGTTAGTCAACTGGTTGGGGAATCCGACATACCCAAAGGAAGGTCAAGCGTTTGGGACAGTCACAAAACGGCAGAGCAAAACAAGAAAGCCGAAAGGCCATGTCAGCCCGATCTACTTGCTTTTTAACCCAAATACAAACCTACAGCATTCACAAAACCTTTTCCAACATCAGGGCGGAGATCCAAACTTGATGCGGGCAATGGTGCCCACAGTGCGACCGAACCTTGGCTACCCACATGGTGCGCCTCGTTTCAGCGGGCAAGTGGAGTCACCCCCCCCACAGTTCCGCTCGGGGGTGCTCGCGCCTTGAAAGCCGAGAAGGTGCCCGGGTAGTAGGCCAGCTTCCCTGAAAGTCGGGCCGATGGAGGTCGAAGGGAACCTCTGCGACTGGCCAGTCAGCTTTTGAAGTGAACATCCGGAAAGCAACATGAATATTAATTCACCAATGGTCTTGAGACAAGGAGCTCTTCAACATGTGACTGGCTGTCAGTCAGGTTCTTGCAAGAAGATCGTCCTGCTGAACTGGCGTAGCCATCGCAACCAGCGCAGCATGCCCCCAATAGCCACCGGTCCAGCGAAGAAAACTTTCGGGCTCATCACGCGATGGATGAATTCACAATATTTTGGCCAGAGCTTGCCACTGTGTCCAACGTGCACCGTGCCCCCTGGATTTGGAGTGGTTGGGTGCAGATTAAAGCCCGCCCAACTAGAAGGCTCTTCAAGGACCCGCAAGCCATTGCCAGGTGGAAGTCCTCAAGAACATACACCAGGGCACAAGAGCTTGGATGCTTCGAGCAGCTGTTGCTGCCGTCCATGAGCCCCTAGCCGTTCCCTTGGCAAACTGCATTTCAACAAACGCTGCCAGACAAGCCACCAACTCACTAACCCATCAACCCGTCCACTCTACTGCCCTCCGTCCCGACCCAAAGTCAAACGCGACCAAGGCAAACCCGGTGGCAATGGGCGAAGAGAGGAGGGGGTTCCCCCTTCAGCTGCTCAGCTGCCCAGTGTCGGGAACATTGAGAATCTGTCGCTCATTTCAGAGATTCATCCGGGAAAAAAAAAGAGGTAAACAGGGTGTCGCTGAACCACGGGAGGTCGTTCGATCGGCAGGATAGCAGGGTAAGCGCACCTTTCTGGCTGCTTGGCGAGAAGTGGACCACGTCCTTAGCAGTGGACCACGTCCCTTTTGAACTCGGCAAACGACATGCAAATGCGTTCTACTTCAGGCACCAACCGGTCTGGGGAAAAAGGCGATTTCAGCAATCCAATGGACTGCAAACAGAAACACAAAGCTTGCGTCAAAGAATTCGAAAGGCTATCACATGAACTGCAAAGATGTGGCCAAATTGGCAAGCCACTTGCAATGATGGGCCAACGATGAGCTTGTTCGTCCAGGGGTTACCTCTGGCAAATGGAAAGCGGCAGCCACCAATTGTCATAAACGCAGAAATGCAATACGCAAGACAGTTTTCGGGAATGTCGCAACGAGATGCTCCTTGCCAGACTGCAATCCACGATCCTTTGATAGGAATCCCTGTTTCCAGCTGTCTTCAAATGCAACAAATGGACTCAGCTCATCCCTACAAAGCCCAAGCAGGCTCTATCGGTATTTTGACCTCGGCTCATTTCAATCAAGTACTATCGGCCAAAGGGTTCTGCATTTTGGCGCAAATTCATGGGTAGAGCAAAAAGCAACTCTGGCTTGCACAAAAAAGAACTTGGCCCAGAGAACATCAGAACAGAGAAGAACAAACACGACAGACTCGAACCACCATTCAAACTTGATGTGCGCCAGCAAGGCATGGAAGTGCACAGGCCCCTGTTGTTCTCAGTTCCCGTCGAGTTCATGTCACTTGGTGGAAGGGTGGGCCAAAAAAGGCCCGCCCCTTTGACCCATCTGCACGTGTGGCGTGCTCTCGGCCAAGCGTCGGTACACACGCGGTCCAAGAAGTCGGGGTCGTGGGACACGATCATCGCCGCGCCCTCGCTGTCGCAGGTCCTGCAGCCGAAAAGAAAAAGCCGCGCTGCATCCAGAGATGCGCAAACTGGAAGGGAAGCTCTGCCAAAAGGGGCCAATTTTGGAAAATCCCCCCCGGAAATGGCGTTCAGGTGTCCTTTTGGTTTCCCTGCCTACAGGGCGTCCACCAGTAATTTCTGGGCCCGGAAAGTGCTCTTGGCCCGTGGCCACTGGTTCATCATTTTTGGTTGGAGTGCATTTGGTGTCAGCTTCCTTCAAGTAGCATCCCGTCAGGGGCCCCGGACAAGCCCCCAATCCCTTTGAAGCAAGAACAAGTATAGGGTGTTCTCCATTCCACTCAAACAACCTTCTCTTCGTGCGGTCACAGCGGAATTGAAACCACTGGAAACCAAAACGCGTTCGTAATATTTGACGCCCCAAGCATCCTTCCGGGCATTGTCTACAAAGATTGAAAGCGCTGGACTTTCGGCCGCGGGACTGGAGCATTCACTTCCACCAGGTGTTTGCTTTGTTGAAAGAGTTCTAACTTTGGACTTACGGCCTTAATTAAGGCCATCCAAATTTCCCCTTGAGGGGGAACAGGTCGCCAAGTTTTTGTTTTTTGCTAGGAGTGGTTTTTTGTTAGGAGTGGCTCGCTACAAGAAATGGCTGATGCGAGCACCGTGACTGTGACCAAGAGAGGAGGGCGGGTCAGTCTGCCCCTGATCTCCAGCCAACATCCCCAGCATCACCAGAAAATCGAGGGCAATTGAGGATTGAAATACGTTTCAATTTAATCCCCGTTTTAGGGCTTGGGGGGGGGGCGGCGGCCCCCCCCATGATGTTCGAAAAAGTGATGATTCAGATAGAGGTGCATTTTAATCTCTGCCAAAAGTCCAAAAAGAAGCGGCCCCCCCGCATGATGATCGAAAAAGTGATGATTCAATTAGGGGCAAAAAATCTCGAATGTAGCCGGGGGTTTGGGGCGGCAGCCCCCCCATGATGATCGAGAAAGTGATGATTGAGGCAAAAAATCTATCAAGTAGCAGGGGGGTTGGGGGGGGCGGCAGCCCCCCCCCCCCATGGTGTTCGCAGAAGTGATGACTCGAATCGGGGTGCAATTAAATCTCTACAGAAGGTCTAAAAGGTAGCGCGGGGGTTTGGGGGGGGTGGTGCCACCCCCCAATCGAAATAGGGGTGTAATTAAATCTCTGTCCAAAAAACCAACTGGGAAAGCAGAGGATGCGAAAAGCCAAACCCTGTGCGTCCTCGACCATACTTTTATGTGTCTAGGCCATAAACTGCGGAAACCACCTGCTGGTTATGTCCCTCGACCATAAAAAGGAAAGAGGGTCGCAGGCATCATTTGACTGGCCGAGTATGAGTTGCTTTGGATCTGTTTTTTTTGGGATGTGATTGCGCCGTTGTTTTGACTGAATCGCAACGCTCAATACATCGTATTTCAATCGGCGTACATGTCTGATCGTTTGCGCTCGGATTTGACACAAACGAAATACTTTGAGCCTTGTAGAGCCATACTAGCTGCATTCGCTTTGGTAAGGCAAAGTAGTTTCAAGCGAAGATCACAGGAATGTTTGAACACCACGCGCCGGGCCCCGGCTACTTTATGCGGATGATTTGGACTTTCTTGGAACCGAGTTCTGCAGAACCTGCTGGTGCGTCCAAGCCCCGTTTTGCTGGCTGGATAGTGTGCGCACGTTGTCATTGTGTTATATTGTGTTGCTCGCTTTTTCTTTGCCTTCACTCATCAAGTCACAGGCTGCATGAACCCGGCGCAAGCATTGCGATGAAAACAGTGTTTTCTTTGAAGAACATGTAGCGTGGACAAACCATGGACAAATCGTGGAACGACCATAAAAAGGCGTGGAACGACCACAAAAAGGCGTGGAACGACCATAAAAAGGCGTGGACAAATCCCTAAAACGGCATGGACAACTCCCTTTTGGACAGGCCCTGGTTGCGGGCAAACAATTCCCAGGCAAAACAATTCATCCGATATTTTGCCTTCGACAAAGCCAAGTGCGGACACCCCCCAACCTCACCCCGTGTTTTGTTTTTGTGTTATTTTTTCTGGGAAAACACTTGCAACGCATTGGACCTTCAAACTCCGCTGTCTAAAGCTTATGAGCACAAAAGACTAAAGCACCCAATTTTCATATGTTCATTGAACATTGGGAGTCTAGCAAGTTCGAGCGCGTAAGAAAAATGCTAGAACTAGCTGAGGAGTAAGCACAGCCGGTTTGATCAGCTTGCTTGTCATAATGATAGTCTGGCCGACAAAATTTATCGGCAAAGCAGGCATACAATCCTGGCAATCACCCGCACTCAAATGTAGTCTTATGTGACATTCTTAGGCGCTTGGCTGGTTGACTTCTCAACCTGCTTGCCTTACCGATAGGACCAAAAAGCCAACTTTGTACAATCCCCGTTTATAGCCTCCATTTATACGTCTTTACCCATTTTATGGTCTCTGCTTCTCGCCCATACTTTTAATGGTCTTTGGAAGCATAGGGAAAGCCAGAAAGCCGCCAAAACCAGAAGAGGAACTGGTAGTGCAGAGGATGCGAAAAGCCAAAGCCGCAAAAGCCGCGTAAACCTAAGAAAAAGCCGCAAAAGGATGCGAAATGAAAAGCCACAAAAGCCACATAAACCCATGTAAATGCCACAAAAGCCAAGAAGCCGAAAAGCCACCCACCCTGAAACACAAAAAAAACTGTAAAAAACAACACGAAACGAAACATTAAGAAATCGCCCTCCGTTGTTTTTTAGCTTAGCTGCTTATGGTTCAACTTGGGTAATCTTGGGGGTGGCTTCGGGCTGGCTTGCGTCAGGCTTTAGGGCTTGTTTCAGCTGTGCTTACTGTTGCTGAAGGGGCTGTGTTATTTGTACTTTTGCTGGTTTGCGACCAACCAACCAACCGACCAACCAACCAACCAACCAACCAACCGACCGACCGACCAACCAACCAACCAGCCTTGGAGCCCTTGCTTAGCTGCGAGCCACTCCTAGCAAAAGAAAAGTCGCTTCCGGGGGAACAAGGGTCCAACAAAAAGTCATCCCCTGTTTGGATCGCACCCTTTGGTGCACACTCACTCACCTCACCTCACCTCACCTCACCTCACCTCACCTCACCTCACCTCACCTCACCTTACCTTACCTTACCTCACTCACCAACTGACCCACTCAAGGCCGTCAGGCCAGCGCATTCAACTCGTTTTTCGCCGAGGTGCCGATTGATGAAGTCAACCAGCCATCGGACGCCTTCCACGTCCAGGTGGTTGGTGGGCTCGTCCAAGAGAAGCAGCTGCGCCTGCGCGAGCTGTTCAAGGGAATTTGACAGTTAATATTCATGGGTGTGGCATCCGAATGAAACCCATTTGTTTGGACCCAATGATCCCAATGCCGAGAATTGTGTTTCACAGCAGCTCATCAGCCTCAGATGGCGGGAAAAGTTTCAAAACATCACAAGTATTTCGCTTCACGCTTGCCAGCAATCTTCTGTTACTTGCCAGGTGAATTAAGCTTGAAGTCTTGTTCAAGACTTGTTTAACGATGTTGTAACTGTTTAGCCCTGTTTAACCTGTTTAAACGCTGTCAAATGTCTAGTCGCTGCTTAACCTGCTTAAACTGCATAACATGTTTGACCTGTTTAGCCTTGTTTAAGCCTGACTGACCTTGGTACGCCATTTTTGGTACTTTGGATATGTGTCCTTTGGTGCAAGAGATGTTTGTTAGAGCCCGTTGAACGCGTCCCCAGAGATTGGTCCAAATGCAAAAAGATTGGCGCCTTCAGCACTGGGCTTGAAGGCTGAAGCTTTCTGACAGGCTGATGACGTGGTCTTAGGGGCATGATTGGCTGGGAAACTGACCAAAGACGAGGCCTCCCTTCAAATTTTGACAGTGGTGGTCAAAAAATCCGAAAGGGTCCACAAACACAGCACGACAGGCACATGTGGTGCATGCTTTGTTGCTTTGAGCTGACTTGCTGATACTGTACATTTGTGTTCGCATGGGTTTGTCTTGTTCATGGCACTTTTCTTGGGGTGGTACAAAAGAAAAGCCAAACAAAACCGAAGCTCGTTGTGGGAGTGCCATATCGGGGGAACACCCACAACCTAGTTCCTCATCCGGGGAACACCCACACCTAAATCCAATGAATGCTCATACCCATTTGAGAATTATTGCTCCAATGTCCCAATGTCAAACCTCGGCGTACTTTAGTTTCCAAGTTCCCTTTCTGAATGGGCTTGAAAACAAGTCAAAGAAACTGCTAAATCTGGGCTCATTGAAGACTGAATCCCAATGATGATCCCGTCAACTAAATCTCAAGGGACTGCCCAACTGGCCAACGGCATCCCGACAACCGCTAAGCCTACAATACCCATTGAAACATCCCCGTTTTGAACCTTCACACCATACAAACAAAACCTACAAACAAACCTTGAGCCCTTCAAATGAAGAACCCTACAAACCCATCGTCTCCCATAGCCCGCGCTTGCGAGGCGGGACACAACTCGCCTTCCGCGCCACTGCGCAAGCGAGGGCGAGGCGCATCTGCCAGCCCCCACTCAGCGCCAGCACTGGCTTGGCCATCTGCTCCTACCAAATGCCGAAGATCCGGGGGGGTAGACAAAAAGGGTGGGTTGTGTACTTCTTCTTTTGGGGGCATCTTGGGACCAGGCTTGGGCTAAATGAGCTTAAACAACCAGCCCCTGGCCCCTTTAAAAGGAAAACCACAAGAAGGTTGTTTGAGCAGTGGTTAAATATGTCTCAACAAGGGGTTGGCCCAACCCCTTGTGCCGCCCCCCTGCTTTTGGGGGAAGGGAGACACTTGGGGAAACCCGGCGAAGGCAGGGGCCTTTTCAGCCCGGACACACCCATCCATTTGAGCAAACACGAAACGGAGCACGTCAGTCTAAGAAGTCTAGGCCCTTTCAAGTGCGCCAAATAATGCTTTACCTCCCCTCTTCGACAACCAAAAGCGGCCCCCTGGTTTTGGTTGAAACACAGGGGCAATGTCTCAACACTACTGTCCTTCCCCCCCCCCGGGCAGAGAAAAGGCGGCGCGTTCATGCGCCCTCCGTGAAGAGCATCTCCAAAAATGTCCAGCTCGACTTCAGACAGAGCCATCGACCATCCCGCCTCCGTTTCAAAGCCCATAGCCTCCAGGGCTTTTGCCATGTCCTGCGCTTTGGCAAAGGAGCAACTTGGGCATTGGGTATGTGTCAAAATAGGAGCTTGCCCCCAAAATGGACGTCTCACTTCTCGTTTCAATTTGTTTTCCTTTAAGGCCGCACAAGGGCGCGACGGGACCACTTGTTGTTGGACCATTTCTCTCCCCCTTAAGGGGAAGTTTGGATGGGCCTTGAGGCCCTAAGTCCAAAGTTGGAACCCTTTCTTGACAAAAACAAGGTCACGGCGACGTGAGCCACGCGGGCCGCCGTTGCAATTTTCATACCACAGGTCCGGTCCAGCATTGTATCTGAATTGGAAGCTGTACGCCCACTGCCACACCTGCGGGTTCAGCAGGCCAGACGTAGCACTCTTAGTAGTTATCTGGCTGGGCATGAAGTCTTTACACATCCCCCAACATCTATCTAGGTGCGCTTATCATTTGGGTGTGCGTATCATTTGGGCGGGTGCACTTGAGCGGGTGTGCTTATCATTTGGCTGGCGTGTGTGCAGTGCTGTGCGGGTGCACTTGAGCGGGTGTGCTTATCATTTGGCTGGCGTGTGTGCAGTGCTGTGCGGGTGCACTTGAGCGGGTGTGCTTATCATTTGGCTGGCGTGTGTGCAGTGCTGTGCGGGTGCACTTGAGCGGGTGTGCTTATCATTTGGCTGGCGTGTGTGCAGTGCTGTGCGGGTGCACTTGAGCGGGTGTGCTTATCATTTGGCTGGCGTGTGTGCAGCGCTGTGCGGGTGCACTTGAGCGGGTGTGCTTATCATTTGGCTGGCGTGTGTGCAGTGCTGTGCGGGTGCACTTGAGCGGGTGTGCTTATCATTTGGCTGGCGTGTGTGCAGTGCTGTGCGGGTGCACTTGAGCGGGTGTGCTTATCATTTGGCTGGCGTGTGCGCAGCGCTGTGCGGGTGCACCTGAGCGGGTGTGCTTATCATTTGGCTGGTTTTGTGCTCAGGGTTTGGGGTTTAAGGTTCTCATTTGGCTGGCGTGTGTGTGTGCAGTGCTGCGCGGGTGCACTTGAGCGGGTGTGCTTCTCATTTGGCTGGCGTGTGTGCAGCGCTGCGCGGGTGCACTTGAGCGGGTGTGCTTATCATTTGGCTGGCGTGTGTGCAGCGCTGCGCGGGTGCACTTGAGCGGGTGTGCTCATCATTTGGCTGGCGTGTGCGCAGTGGTGTGCGGGTGCACTTGAGCGGGGGTGCTTATCATTTGGCTGGTTTTGTGTTCAGGGTTTGGGGCTTAAGGTTTAGGATTTACGGCGCAGCTGTTGGCGGTAAACGCGGCCTGCCACTGGCGGAAAATATGACTCGAAGTCAAGAGTGCTACGAGCGCTCTTGCGAAGGTGACACTCAACGCGACCTGCCACTGGTGGAAACTATCAATCGTAGTCAAGCGCGCTGCGAGCGCTCTTGCGCGGGTGTTGGTAAACGCGACCTGCCACTGGCGGTAAATGTAAATCGTAGTCAAGCGTGCTACGAGCGCTCTTGCGCGGGTGGCGGTAAACGCGACCTGCCACTGGCGGTAAATAATCTCCTCCCCCTATTAATGAATGACCCCCATTAATAATAAATGCAAATCCGGGGCCCGAGACCAGATTTCCACTCCGTACAATTGATTTTCAATTGCCCCAATACTAAACCAATACTAAAGTCTTGGAATCCTTATTAGGGGGCACTTTTAGCAAGCTTCCAGCTCCCGTACATGCTGGCTAATTAACCTGCCTGGCTGCAAACAAACAACCAGTAAACTGGTAAACAAATAGAATGATACATCAAATTTCCTTATTGAACCGCTTACTCGCGGACCTTACAATTCAATCCATTTCATCCAAATCCTACGTGAACCCTCACATTGTTGGAAAAGCAAAAAAAACCAACCCCAAAAAACCCAATTAAAAAAGTATATATTTTTGGGGGGATTTATTTATAATAGGGGGGGGGCCGTATTTATTAATAGGGGGAAGAGATTATGAATCGAAGTCAAGCGTGCTACGTCAGCTTGTTTGTGAAGAAGTCATGAACATGAAAAAACAAAGGATCCTCCCGCGTGTCTAACGTCGCCGTGAGCTAAAACAACCCTAGTAGAAGTGGATGCTCCAGTCGCCAGGGAACCAAACGGCGTTGGACAAATCATTGGCGAAACCAACAGGCGAGCTGGGCCTACAGCCCTGGCGACGAAAAGAAATGCAATCAAACCACGGCGTACTTGTAGTCTCTTCGTCCGGCTGCGTGAACTCCGTGCCAAAGCAACTGAATGCAACGAGTCTTACAAAATGATTGCGCCTTCAGCAACCAGGAACCCACAGATATACAAGGTTATCTAAGCGCAGCCAGTTTGATCGGGAACAAAGGCCCCGCAAACTCTTTGGGGAATCCATGCCCAGCTACCCACCACAGCTTTCTATGGCCGAACTTCAGAAAGTGGTCTAGGTTGTTGTGTTGCGTCGGCTGCTCTCGGACACTCGCGGCGCACCTGGGTGTGTCTCATTGGGGCCCAATCCACATGGTTGGTTTCGTATGGTTTCTAGGAGAAACCATACATGTCAATTGGCCGGGCTTGGGTGGCTTCTGATTTCCGGCTTCGATCTCCTCCTCGGATCCAGCGTCGGGGCCGCTGTTGCGCTGCTGCACGTAGTCGCTCACCTAGAGGCAGGTGCCTTCTCAACCTCTCACTTGAGAGTTGAGAAATCCAAAGCTGGCATGCAAGGAGTCCACACCAGCGCCTCAACGGTTTTGTTTTCCACGATATCACACTTCATGTGCTAGCAGAAAGCACGTTGGAGGAATTCGTAGTCGCCACTAAGCCAAAAAGCAATTTAGTGCCCGCAAAACGATGCTTCCAAGGCAGTGCACGAGGGCAACACAAGCTCCGAGAAACCCCGGTTCCCGTGGACAAAGTCTTCTCCCACAAAACCAAGTGCGCAGTTGTGCCCACTCACAAAAACTGAGGGCAAAGGTCAAGATCCAACGCCGCATAGTACTGGCAGGATTCCACATGCAAATCGAATCTCCGTTGAGGTGCAGGCAACAACGCGTGCTCCTTCTGGATGCCACATGTCACATAATCCAATCGCTTTGGAGGCCCCAAAGAAACCGCGATGACACCGGTCCACGCTTTGCCTTCTCATTGTGGTCGTGATTGGCACACAGTACAAGATTAGTGGCCAACGCTCGATAGCTGCCTGCACTAAAGCCCAAATTCCAGATGCAAAATCGTATCTGTTCCTTCCTTTCAATACCAATGCACGAAGTACGCTTTGACAGCACTAGCTCGAAGATTGAAACTGTTCTCAGAAACCGCGTGGATGTGAGGAAAGGCGTGCAAAAGGCAATTCTGTGCAAAACGGTATCATTATCGTCATAGTTTAGCTTCTTGTTTTGCAGTAAAACGAGCATTTTTGGACACAAGGGGCCTCCGAAGACTAAATTACATCAACGGATTTTTATACAATCTCAAGCGTCATCTACGGTTGTTTCTCCCACTGATGCCTAGCGCAACGCGAAACACTCTTGGCCCGTGGCTTAGAAATTACTGGCATCGAGACTACCCTAAGGGACATCACCCACTTTGGAATCAGATTTTGAGACAAACCCCTTTGGGACCAAATGACCAAATGATTTCCAGCCCAAATCAAACTTGACCAAATGGGACCAAATGGTTTTACCAAAGTCCAACTATAATTTGGTCCTAAATCAAAACATGTTTTTTGACCAAATCACCCGTCCCGGGAGCCCGCCTTTGTTGACCGCTTGACACCCTGAAGGATCGCCTCGCGGGGGAAGACACGGGAATCTGTGTCTCAAAAGCGGGAACCCGCGGAGTCTTGATTGGGGTCTGTGTGGCTTCCCTTCAAAGCAACCCCAAAAAGGTGCCCTCCACAAAAGCCGTTAGGGATCCCCGGATGGTTGGCCAGTCCTTCTTCTTTTCGTGTCAAACGAACCAAACACTGCAATCACAAAAAATAGGACAGCGAAGCTGAGGACACTTTGAGGAGGCAACAACACTTAACTGCTGGCAAGGGCAACCGGTACCTCCCTGTAAGCTCCAAATCACTGTAAACTCCCCACCAAATGGCTGGCATGGGAACCCCGACTCAAGAACCCTACAAATCAACCAACGGGTGAAAATATGGCTTCCTGCTACGCTGAAGAATGGAACCATGAGGGGCGTGGTCCGCCCTTGTGGCACACTTGCAAGTTGATAAAGGACAGCCGCAATCAGACAAAGCTTGCCTGGGAAACACAAGCAACCATATATACACACAAACACAAACACCAAACACCGCAGCACACGCATGCACACGCCCTCGCACCCGCACACACGCACGAGCCCACGCGCGCACGGACGCACGCAGCCAAAAACACACACACACACACACACACACACACACACACACACACACACACACACACACAATCAAACAAACAAACAAACAAACAAACAATCCAACCAACAAACAAACAAACAAACAAACAAACAAACAAATAAACAAACAAACAAACAACCAACCAAACAAACAAACAAGCAAGCAACAAACACACACACACACACACAAGGAAACACACACACACACACACACACGGACACACGCACACATACTCACACAAATGCGCGCACACACACACACACACACATGCACATACATAAGCAAACACACGCACGCGCACACACGCACACACTCACACCCACCCGCCCACTCACGCAGGCACGCACGCATGCATACACAGACGCAAACGCGCACGCACACGCACAGGTACACGTACACGCACACGCACAATCAAGTGGGCAGGCACCGTGCAGAGCTGTCCAGTCATGCTCAGGCGAGGCGTTTCGAACATGCCTAGCTTCTGAATTGGTGAAGGAAGCCATGAAGTTGGCACTGCTCAAACGCGTGTCCAAAAAGACATGGTCAGGAATCACTGCTCAAAAAGTCAGCCCATTGGTAGGCGAGGGGGGGCCTGCATCAAAGGTCAACACACGCGGGGATGTTCAACCCCATGCGCCCGGCCCGGCCCTCTCCCGCCCCGCCTCGTGTCGGAGGAGGACTACGCGCAGGTCGTGCGGCATGCCAGAGATGTCTTTGCTGGCAATCCTCCGTGCCCAAAGTGCAACGAGGTTGTTGGCATCCCCATACTGTGGACAAAACCCTTCACCAGTTGGTAGGTTGTTTTCCCATTTCTGTGTAGGATTTCGTCTGCTGGATTTTGTCCATCACCGGTATGCCCAGAGACAACAGCGGATCCATGACGCTCAATCCTTGGATGATGAGTTAGGCTGAGGAATGAATTTAGGGTTGATTTGAGGCAGGTGTGGGGTTGCTTCAAGGTTGGTGCAGGATGGGTTTGGGGTTTGGGCCTGGGTGGCTTTGGGCTTAGACTTAGGATTGGATTGGGGATGTATTCCGCATCGGCTAGAAGACGGGGTGGGTGCTTTAGGGTTCATTTGGGTCTGGGTTTGGGTGGTCTTAGAGAGTGAGTTTAGGGGAGGTTCTTGGTAGAAGGTTGGTCCAAGGTGTGGGATTCATGCCTCTGTGATTTTAGGGTAGGGAACATGAGCCAGCGTGTGGGACTGGATTGGATTGGGGGTTGGTTTGGGGGTTGGTTTGGGAGGGATTTAGGGGGTCAGGCAGGTTTAAAGGGGTTGACTTTGCTTTGATTCAACGTCGACTTAGTCTAGCGTGTTGGGTTGAGTTGGGTTTCAGGCGGTAGGGAATGATCTGAGTGGGATCTGGGATGGGTTTGGGGTTGGATTACGGACAATGAGGCTTGGGC